GCTGCCCCTGGATCCCTGGAAGTGCCCAAGGCCAAGCTGGATGGGGCTTGGAATAACCTGAGATAGTGGAAGGTGTCCCTGCCCATGGCAGGGGTGGAACAAGATTACTGCATTGGTCCCTCCCAATGCAAACCTTTCTGTGGTGTGAGGAGCAGGAAAGGCTTTGAGCTGTGTAAGCACTGCTCAGCAATAATGGGAACATCCCTGAGTTGTCTGTGCCTGGAACTTTGTGTTCTCAGCACAAATGCCAGGCACAGCCCCATCCCAGCCACTGTGCAGAAAATTAACTCCATGCCAGCCAAGCACTGTGAGCTGTCCAATGGAACTGGACAGGGCAGGTGCAGCTACAGGACTTGGAGCTTACTGGGACTCCAGAGGTGCAGTGGAATATTTCCCTGTCACCTTGGAAAGGTCATGGCAGTCAGGAGAGCTTCCTGATGGCTGCAGAAAGGCAAATACTGGGCCCATTTTCAAAGACTGCCAGGAGGAGGATCTGGGGAACAGGAGCTTTACCTTAATTCCTGGGAAAATTACACAGCAAAACCTCCTGGAAACAATTTTTGAGGCTTCTTTTCCATTTGTTGAAGGGGCACAAAGGTGATTCGGAGCAGCCAGCATGGACTTCCAAGGGCAAAAGTTTCTTGATTTCCTTTTGGGAAAGCTGGCAGTGTCTGAGTTGTACGTGGCTTTGGGGAGGCCTTTGACACAGTCCTGTAGCACCTTTAGAGCCACGCTGGGGACACACGGACAGAGAGCTGGCTGGAAAGTTGGCTGGGCTCCCCAAATCTGAGTGGTGGGGAGCAGAGCCAAGTGCAGCTGGGAGTCCCTAATAGGTCAGTGGATCAGTGCTGGTCCATGACTCCAGTCACATGGGGATGGTGGCATGGGGAGTTTGGCAAGATGAAGGAGCCTGTTAAATTGGGGGAGAACACTGACAGGCTGGAGGCAGGGCTGTGTCCAGGGTGACAGGGGCTGTGGGTGACAGGAGCTGGCAGGAACCTTTGGAAGGTCAGCATATGCCAAGTTCAGGGGCATTTCAGCCTTGAGCAGCAAGCCAGGCTGGGACTGCAGGCTGGAATTTCAATGCCATCCTGGGCAGAAACACTTCACTGTGTCTTCACCATTAAGGAGATTGGTCAGGAGTGATTTGTGGACAGTAATTCCTAAATTTAATTTTATCCTGCCAGCAGTAATGCAATATGCTTATTTGTTCCCTGTGCCCCACTAAAAATCATTCAAAACTGTTTCAAGTCTGGGATGGTTTAAAGAGAGGACAAGAACGAATAAATAGAAAGAAATTCAAAAATATTGGGGGTTGATTCAAGCTGATGGAGTGGGTTTTGTCACTGGGACAAAGCCAGCTGCTCCCTTTTTTCTTCTCTTTTCTTTTTTATAATGAGAGCTGTCTGTTTTCCTGTTCTTAATGGAAAATTTTATAGTGAGTGTATACTAAAAAAAAAAAAAAAGAGATAGTATTACTTTGGACATGATTGCACACTGAGTGTGTGTGCTCCCAGTGTACATTATAAGCACAAGTTGTAAAGTCATATTTTTCCACTGCTGTGTGTTCTAGCTGTTAGGAATTATCCTTGATCTACTTTCTGGGAAGCTGGAAATTTTTGGGTATTTCAAAATTCACTGATTCATTTTCTTGAGTGGTGGTGGATTGAGTCAGGTTTAACCCAGCTGCAATGTGCTCTACAATTCTTAGGGAGATTTACTTCAGGAATTTTTGATGGGGTTAATTTCAGGTCAAGGTCAGTCAAAAGATGTGGTTTGGGGTGTGATACTAGTTATCCATTTTCTGAGATTTTGTGTTAATTGTAAGAATTTTAAAGTTTCATTAAAATTCCCAAACAATTTGTCTGAATGTTCATAGCCAAAAAACCCACAAGCACAAGATGCTGGTGTCAGGTGAGCTGTATGAATTGTCCAGTTAATACCTTGGGTTTTGTATCATTATCATCATCTTGCATGAGAAATTGTTCCAAATGGGATTCAGGCCTTGCCTGGTTCATTGTTGAATTTCTCAGCCTTTGAATAGAAATACATTCACTGGTGCAAGTTTAGCCTCTTCTTTTATTCAAGAGCCCTGAACACGAAGTGTGTGTTTACGTTTTTGCATAGCTCTTTGCATGGAATTAAATTTTTATACAGTGACTAATTCACTTTCTGGTTTTCAGGGTGTCACTGGGTTTAACTTTCTGCTGTGTAAGCTGTGACTTTGATCTTCAGATTTATACAACTGCACTATATTGGCAGATGGGACATTGTCTTATAAAACACTAAAGTATATTTTAATGTTCTTCTATTGATTTTTCATGAAGGTGTGAGCTTTACACATTTTCAGTCCAAGTGGACATCCATGAAATAATTAAACCCATCTGTTTCTCCTATTTCCCTGTAGGAAAATGTAATGAAATATGATTCTCAACTGACCTGACTCCTTAATTCACATTGTTATGCTCTTCTACAATGGGGATATAAAAAGATAACTCAGTATTTCATAGCATCTGTTACCTTTAATGGATACGAGTGATGGAAATACATGCCAGTGGTTGAAATTTGGGGTTGGGAATTTGCAGTGAGGGCTCAACACTAGAAAAAGTGTCACTAGCAAAGTGGGGATAGCACTTTCTCCTGCTCTCTTAGAATTCCATGGTCTCACAGAGCCTGAGAGAAAATGGGGAGAATGGAATAAATGTATTGCTTTAATATTGACAGGATAAACAAGATATTTAGGAATTACTTTCCTCAAACTAAAATGCCTTTTTGGGGAGTGCAATTCTGGTGTTTCCTGCACTTAGTTAATAGTTACTTTGAGAAAAAGGTGTAAAAGTAAGTATTAACTCTCCCTAGTTTAAAAAACCACGAAACAATATTCCTGCTTTCTTGCTGACTCACTAGCTCATGTTGCAAAAACTTACCAGTAGTTAGAGAACATTTTATTGCTTCTTGGAAACAAATGTTTCCTTCTATGACTGGCTTTAAAAGTCCATCCTGAAGGACAATAAGGTTAAGACTATCCCAGCTTTGCATATAAAATTTGGTACACACGTCAAAGTTTTCATGCTGCCCAAGTTAAGAAACTATGATGCATTTCTTAGTCAGATATCTCTTTTCCCCTGCTCAAAATAATTGTCTCCTGGGAAATGTGTTGACTTCAGTCTCCTCTTCCATCGTGTTTTGTAATCCATTCATAGCTGTCATAGAAGGGTTGCTGTATGAGCTGTCCCAAGGTTAAAAGCAGCTTTGTGCTGGTCCAGGGGAGGGAAGCGCAGTCCCAAAGCCGCAGGGAGCACCGGCTCCGAGGAATGCAGACAGCTGATCCCGACAGCCTGTCCACACGTAACCATTTTCTTCATTCATCAAAGCAAATTTAAATATTTGATACAGCATCTTGCCAACTATTTCCCCATTTAAAACACAGAACAAAATCTAAAACTGAAATATTTCTCATAAGGAGGTGCTGCTGTACAATCCATTCTCTTCCTGCTGAAGCTTGCGGTCAATCCAGTTCCAAGATTTCAGTTGGTTTTGGGAGTCACTTTGATTCCCATGTTAATTTGTAATCCTGCACAAGTTGAATGTTTTTGGTTTTTCTCTCTGGTGCAAAACTTTTAACGTAGAAAGTTTTTGGGATATCTTGGGTTTCCTGCTTGTCACAGTCATTGTTTTGCAATTAATTTAAGAGGAATTTGGTTTGAATGGGGTGGGGAAAAAAGCTCAGGTGAAATATACAACTTCATATCCAGGTTTGGTGTAATTAAGCCCTGATTCTATGTTTTGAAATGCAGTTAGCTGAGAATTGGAAAATAACTTTATTTGCCTAAAATATTTCAAGATTTATGTTCCAAAGACTGCCGCTGTTTTTTCTACCATTTCAATATTGATAACACATTTTGGTTATTCCTTGGAGTTATTTGTGCAGTTTTTTGTATTCTGATAGAAAAGTGAGTATTTTCAGAGGAATGTTGTGGTTTCTAGGTGTTTGCTAGACTGACTGGGATATTGGATTTTGGAACAGGAGATGCTAAAAGAAAGTGGGTTATAATAATAGCTGGAATACTTGGAATGCTTTACAAAGGAAATTCTTTCACAGGCATCTCAGCCAACTTCACTTGTTCCTATCAAGGTGTTTCATATGGGAATCACACAGCCCTTGGAACCCACCTGGGCTACATGAGGGGGATTTGGGAAGTTTAACTGTTGGAGCTGGAATATGGCCAGATCTTTTGGGCTGTCATTGGTCTGGGAAGAATTTTGAGCCATCATGATGCATTTAAACTTTTGTTTATGTCCTGTTGGGGAAGCTGAGCCTGTAGCATGTGGATGGATACTCTTCATGGATGAAATGGAGTAGGCAAGAATAAAAGGAGCCTGTCCTGAGCTCCTATTTATTGAGTTAACTTCATTAGAGGATATTCCTGAGGTGTGGGTTTTTTTACTTGGTGTGTCACCAGAGTTATTGGGTAACTAATTTAAATATAATTAGATGTTTTTTGTGCCTATGATGTAGCCTTAAGCTGAGTATAGCCTTAAGGTATAGCTTGAAGAAAATAACTCTCATCAAAACAAGTCTGAAGAAAATTAAGTAAGTCTGTCTAGGTACATAATGTCAAATCCTGTTCTGTGCTCCCAAGTTCCTTGTTCGGCTGTACTGCTGGAAAGCTGATGAGCTTTTCATGAAGAAAATGCTGTTTATGCCTGGGAACTGAGTAGTCCTGGGAACTGAGTTTGCCCAATAAAACTTGGAAATTCAACCATCACACATGTGAAGTCCACACACAATTGTTGCTGGGCTACTGATGTGCACTTGTCAAACCATTTCCCTTTTTTGTTGCTCTTTCACTCTGCAGACTGTCCAGCAGAAGCTCCTTTTAAAGTAAATTGTTGAATTTGTACAGTTTTGCTCTCTGTGTTAATGGATTTTGACTAAATTACTGAATTTGGAGTGTTTTGCTTCATGTTCTAATGAAATTTCTTTGCTCTTCTTTCAGAGCATTCAGTCAGAAAAGAGCTGCAATTGAGAAAGAATATGCACAGGTAGGTTCTGGAATAATTTTGATGGCTCTGGCATTGTTCTGTTGGGATTATTTGTTTATCAGCAAATTACCATGGTGAATATTTTTATCATTTATCTTTTCCATAAGTGACTTAGCATAAAAATGTGTTGAAGTTCTGAATCAGTTTGATCTATATAGGACTGAGGCCTATTCTGTATTTTCATGTATTTTGACTTGGGGAAGTTCTCGAGTACAGAAAACATTTTTAACATTTTTCCCCAATTGTTATAAAGTAAAACTCTGTGTGCTTTTCTCAGAAGTCAATGTGAAATTTGAGTGAAAGGTAAAATCAGGTCAATTAGAGGGAGAGGAAATGTTCTGGCTTATTTGATCCAAAAGAAATTTAAATTCACATTCTTCAGTAAGAGCAGCTTCCCATTCATCTGAAATAAAAGAGGATTTGGCCTCATGCTTGTGATAGGGAGTGGAATGAATTTTGATTTGTTTGTGAGAAAAGAGGGAGGATTGCTTTTTCTCCCCCAGTCCAAAATTAGAGAGCATCTAATAAGGGGCAGCTGCCTGTTTAATTTACAGTAAAGGCTCTTGGAGCTTAAGTCCAAGTACAACAGATTATAAATACACTGATTTATTTTAAAATAGATGAAAGGTAGAATAAAATCCAAGGGAGTGAGCTCGTGGAGCTCAGTATGCCATAAATCTAACTGGAGATGTGCCTGACGTGGAATGTGAGAACACAAGCTGTCACCAGGCTGCTTCCAAGTGCAGTTTGTAGGAAGTCATGTTCAACATCCTTTTAGTCCTCAGTGCAGCATCACCCCCAAAATACACAGAGCAAACGTGTTCTGGGCCAGGCTTCACTGGCAGTTGGGAAAAGATGGTTCCTGTGCCTGTGACGGATGGGTTTTTAGTGCTGGATTTGCTGTATGTCTTCTCAGCCTAAAAACCATCTGAAAACCCCTCCTACGCCATGTGGAATTTGTGCTGAATTAAACCCACTCACTAACAATAGTGCCATAAGTTATTGGTGCTCTCATTTTTCTCCACATATGAATTTACCTTGGCAAGTATCAATTCCATTGGCAGATTAGCTAAATTTGATTAAATACCTGAATTTTTCAATGATGGTACCTCCTGAAACTGTGGTTAAAAATATGTGTTTTTGAGAGGTTTTTTTTAAACTAATACATAAAATTTAACACCAGTTCTTAACACATTTATCCAGTAGACATGAGAATGTCTTTTATATGCAGAGACACAACAGTCACTGCATTTAGGGAATAGTCCTGATAAGTTGGAAAAATAATTACACTGCGCTTCAGAAAGCTCAGACCTAACAACTGAGGCTTTCAGCTCCTTGGATTTAACCCCCACCCCCCCTCAGCTTTGCAGCAATGCAGCTGCAGCATTTGAGATTCACTGAATAGCTGGTTATATTAATGAAGTCTTGTGGGATCACTTCCTTGGATTGATGATAAGTGCACAGTTCCAAAACAATGTTGGATGCTTCTTTGAGGGCCTCTAAAAGGATTTCTGTTTTGGAGGTGGTAATAAAATTTCACATAAAGCCTTTTGGGGAGAGAAGTTGTACACCAAATAAATGGCAAGTCACATTCATCAGCAGTGGGATATTCCTTTTAAACCAGTTCTAAAGGGAGCTGGAAATGGTCAGTAGTTTATGAAGCCAGATTTCCAAACCTTTTCACAGATTCTCTCCAAATGCCTCTTGTCACCTTAGGGAATTCGGAATATTCTGACATCTGACTTTTTTTTGGCAAGTTAGAAGCAGTGGAAGGGTGGCCAGTGAAAATCAGTTTCCCAGAACTGAACACTTTGTTGGTTTAAAAAAAATTGTAGGTTGGTGCCCTGCACTTGGGTGCCAAGTTTCTAAACACAGAGTGCTTTTGTTGGGAGCAGGAGAACCTGTCCAAAGGCAAGTGAAACACCCCAGCCCAGTGTTTATAACTTGCCCCTAATTACATGGTAAGTGGTGCAAATGTATGTGATGAATTATAGGGCCTGGATTTAAATTTCCCTGCTCTTACTTTGTCCGGGTTTTTTTTTGCGTTGTGTTTTCACCTGTTGCCCTTGAAGGTTTCTGGAACTATTTTTTGCTTATTACCCATCTCCAGTGGGTTCTTTCCTGGCTTTTCAAGGATATGCCATGGTATAAATGGGAGAAGGTTCCACTGTATCAGCGATTCTGCAGTTTTCTAGATCAGTTGGGATTCTGCACTCAGCTCTTCCATTTGTATTTTTGGTCCTGCATTATTTAATGTATGCTTAGAGGCTTACCTTAATATTCAGAAATGAGAGCTCAGAAAGGTTCTCATTTCCCACTAACAGTATGCCTGCTAATAGCATTTAAATTGCAATTTTGTATTGTTATTATTAGCTGTTCTCCATTATTAATAAGCTGCCTGAAATCAGTACCTGAGAATACTCCTATGGTGAAAAAACAGTTTACTGAATGTGTGCTTTTGCTGCTACCTACAAAAAACTGTTTTACCCAGCATGTTAAATAGGTAAAATGTTGGTTTTTTGGTTGGTTTTTTTTTTTTTTGAGATTATAAATATATCTTTGCTGCAGTTACTATTATTTTACACTTTTAACTCAAGAGACCAGTCTCTTATAGTCTGGGAACACAGAGATGACCTTCCTTGTCATGTCTTGCTTTTGCTTGATGTTTCACTATCAATGTTTCAGAGTAAAACGTGACTCCAGGCAATCAGCATGGCCTGGCCCCTTGGAATTTGCAAGTAACCTCAAGGAGGTTGAGTTTCCCTGCATGCTAATGAGTTTCTAACTGTAGTACCTCAAATAAAGGCACTGATGTTCTACAAAAAAGGTGGGAGAGCCCATTCCCTGAGCTACATTTCAAGTGAGGTACAAGTAGAAGTGTCTGTTCAGTTTTGGTTTTTTTTAAGAAGCAGTAATTATTAGGATTTTTTTCCTCCTCTTTGTGTTTTCTAGAGGTCAAATTAACATTGAAGAGCTGTGGGTGCTCAGTAAAACCAGCTTATCTGTCATCAGGAGGGGACAGGGCACTCGGTGTTGATTGCTGTATCTGTGGCACTGAGAAACTTCATGCATCTAAAGCATTTTCAGATGTGGAGAAAAAAAAAGTTAATGTAGTTTATAGCCACAGAGTCCCGTTGGCAGCTCCTCATATCCATGGTAGTGGTTGGGAGAGGAGCCTTAAATAAAATGAAATGGATGTGAGAGGGAAAAGCAGCTGGAGGTGGGGTGAGAGGAGCAGGAAAGGTGGGGAGGTGGATGTAAGCAGACACCATGGTCACCCTTACCCATTTCCCTGACCCTGTGTCTCACCAGACCTAGAAAAAGCACTCATTTCAAGACATCAGAATAGATGCATTAATATTTCCTAAAAAATTACAATATTCCTATGGCAGTTTTTGTCCATACAATGTGTGCCTGTGTATACATAATATATAAAGCAGATACACAACATCATTTATTTTATATCTGTATATATATGTATTTTATATATAATTTATTTATATATTTGCCAGAATGTACTGGTTTTCCATTGTTTAAAAGCAAACTAGAAGCTGACCATTTCTTTTACCATGTTCTAACAAGGGTGCCAAGCCACCCAGTGGCCTATTGAACAATTTTTCAGGGGATTAAAATCATAAAGGGTTAAAATCAGACATTCCCACCATGTTTTAGTAACTTCTGCCACGGCTCATTTTTTTTCCTTTGCTGTTCTTTATCATGTATTCCAGCACTTTGTGAAAATTAACTGATTTATCTTTATCCTGTGAAGACTGGAAAGGTGATGGTATTACACTCATAAGGAATGAAAGAAATGAGTGAATTTTAGCCAAAATACCACAAGTCTCTGATAGAATGGATACTGAACTCTACTGAAAATACAGTGGTTGATTGGAGTGTTTCAGTGGTGACTGTAGGAGCAGGAGGATGGCAGGCACTGCACAGGAACAGCTGGGAAATTTGGGAATGGTGCTGGGGAGTTCTGTAAATAGAACCTTGTCAGCATGGAACCCTAGTCACCTGGGTTGATTCCTAAATCCCACCAGGCAAAACAGCTGCAGCCTAGGAAACACAGCCTTACAGCAGGTTTGGAACACAAAACAAAAATTCCAGGGTGAAGCAAATTCTTTCCTCTGCCTCCCAGCTACGGAACCCCTGGAGCGGCAGGAAAAAATAACTTGAGGTACCTGCCCTGCAAAGCCAGCAAGCAGCTTTCCATGAGATCACTGCCTGCAGTCTGGGCGGCATGGGTTGGATTTTTTAATCCCAAAGGATGCAGGAGGTTGCTGTGGGAGAGCAGGAAGAGATTGTGGATTTTAAGGGTGGGTCCCTGACTTGGGGACAAACAAGGAGCAGCCGTGGGTTGACTGCTCAGGAGCTGTTTTGTTAGCAGATGAACTTAAGTTACTTGTTTCTTCCTGTGAGGATGATTTGAGAGTTGCTGCAGTGCTAAACCTCCCTCTAGAGTATTTCTGTATTACTTAAGACATTTGTCTTGGTTTTGTTTTAGAGTGAAATTGATTACTTTTGTAGTCAAGCAGTAATTTAAAAAACGTGGGAAATCAGTTTGTGTGTGTGCATGGAAGATGTATTTTTAAGACTTAGGACACTTCATCTTTTTGGGATCTTCTGTATTTCAGATCCTGTAAGGAGAGTTTAGTTTGTAATTAGCCCATATGCAGAAAGTAGGTTGGTTTTTCTTTTATCTCAGACTTAATCTTTGGAAGGAATTTAGTTGTCATTCTGTGATTTCTCTGCAGAGAAACTTTCACTTGTAGTACATGAGTGGATTGTGTTGAAATTTCCATCCTGGCTATCCTGAGCTGAATGGATGCTGTATCTGGATATATTTGATAGCAATTAATTTGAAAGGAAACAAATTGTTTTGAAACTCACCCGTATAATTACAATATTTATTGTATTTTCAAACTTACTGTAGGAAACACTAGGAAAAACTCAGAGTGAAATCTTTTTCCAGGAATGAAGTCACCGAGTGTCTGCAA